TCCAAGGACATACAACTTCTAAGTAACATCACTAAAACTCAAATCTCCATTTTTTAAATATTGCTAACAGCCTCCCAAATAATGCTATCCACATGTTATTTGTGAAAATTCCTTGAGATAAATTCATGTATTGTTCATGGTATATAGAGGACTTTTAGTACATATCCCTTCCTGTCTCTTTGTATCTACTTTTTGTTTTCTCAAAGCAGTTTGCATCTTTTTATTTCACTTGATCTTCATCTGACCAACAGAGAAACTTTGGAAATTTGGGACTAAATGATATCAACAAATTTCCCGTGGAACTGGTCCTAGGACCCAGGGTTTCTCCTTTTACGTTTGCCATCTTTTCTCCTCTCGAAACCTGTCAAAATCCTGTAAGAAGTAACTTTTATTTTTGACTTCTCTTGAGTCCTCTCTTCCTTTTTAGGCTTTGGGTAGAAAGGCATATGCTTATTTTCATAAATGGATGAATGCCTTGATAAGAACCTGATAATACACACTTAAAGTGATTACTCTGATCTTTGGAATCTTCACGGCAGGATGGCCACTCTCAAGAGGACTTTCCCTCCCCTCGCAATGACAAGTCTTAATGGAATCTGGCCTGAGGAGTGTCTGGGCTGTGTGCAGGGCTGGTGTCAAGGCAAGTGCAAGCTGTTCCCCGAAGCTCAGACTTTACAACATAGTACAACTCAAACATTCCTTCAAGGCACCGCCCACCTTTTCCAGTGGGAATATACTGAAATGATTCTCTTGGAAGCAGTGTGGAGGAATGGGGGAAGGGTGTTAAGTAGGTGTTTTCAGAGGAGATAGTGGATGGGTGAGTGGGTGGAGACAAAAGGGGAAAATGACAAGTAAAGATGGAAAAAATAACCACTACTGCCACCAAAATATTCTGCTCAAGGAATGAGGGAGTACACCTTACAGCTGTTAGCACTGGTCAGCATATTTTGCATATTTACATACACCAGGTATTTCCAAACAGCCCTGTGTTTGTTTTAAAATCCCACACAGAGATGTCTGGTAAAGCTGTCACTGTGAAAGAGTTATTTTCTTGGTGATGTTTGCAAAACTGCTTTCAAAATTCTGTATATACAACAGAAGAGACAGGAGAGTCACTGTCATTACCCACGTTATAGAGAAATCTGGACTAGTCCATTTACCCATGAGACAACATTCAGAGTGAAACACCCACATTCTAAGGCAAAAAAAAAACACCTGGTTGGTTGAAGCCAATTTTTTTATTATTACTTTTGGTTCAATACAAAACGAAAGACAAAACATCACCCAGTGATCCTGGTTAGTCCTGAACCCACCAAAGTGTGATTTTCTTAGTCACTGCTGACTCTCATCTTTGATTTAGGAGTTGATTTTTTTTTTTTTTTTATGAAAAATGCTAACACTGGATGGATTTCTCATATAGCCATTTTCTTTTGGAAACATAAAGCTCCACAAAACCACACATAGCCCATTTGAAAAAGATTAGGGAACTTCCAGCAGAAGGAATGGGGTAGTTGAAAGCTATATTTTCCTTTTAGCAAGATCCACAAGAAAAGGATAGAGTGTTGTGCTTAAAGGGGAACAGATTTTGTATTTTTTGGCAAGATATTAAATCCTCTGTTGCTATATTTGGCTTCCTGCAAATAGCCTTTAGTACAAGTGCAAAGCAAAGATCAATGCTGGTGTTCTTCATTCAGCCACAGCCAAACTTGGTATGGAAAGTAAAACAGTTGGGCTTAAGTGTTGTTTCTAAGAGATTCTAGTTCATTTATTGATCAACAGCATTCTAGAGTCTAGGTACCTACTTTACACATTAAATGTATCAAAACATGTTTGCTTTCCATAATAGTTTTTCCCCTGCTTAACTGATAACAGATGTAAGGATTCAATCTGGACAGAAATGTAAAAGCTTTACCAATGTAGTCATATATGGATATTTAGTCAAATGTGTATAAGCAGGTCAAATGAGATGCTTGGAGACTTAGGACATCACACGATGGGCATATATTCCCAAAAAAGGAAGCAAAACAATTAAATGGTAGTTGATTGTCCCCAGAGAAAACACACTTCAGCTAGGAAGAATCTGCACCAGATGTCCTGCTCGCCACCCCCCTGAGTGCCTGTCTGACATAAAGACAACATAACCCTTTGGATTTGAAGACACTGTAATAACCACATAAATGTTTGAAATAGTAACAAGAATTTCCTTTTTATGCAATTATTTAAGTGAATGTAGATGAATCCTACACAGATGACCATTGCAAACATGGAACACGCCTTGCGAGTTCCAGTGATATATTAAACCCTCTTAGATTAAAAGGCTGATAAAAATTAACTGAAATCTGATAGTAATTGTGATAGGTTAAATAATGCCCCCTCAAAATGTTCACTTCCTAACCCCCAGAACCTGTGAATATGTTACCTTACATTTAAGGACTTTTTTAAAATTAAGAACCTTGAGATGGAGAGATTATCCAATGTAATTACAAAGGTCCTTAAAACTTGTTAAAGAGAGGCAAAAGAGAGGGTCAGAGCAAGCCCATGTGAGAAGGACTTGACCAGCTGTTGTTGACTTTGAAGATGGAGGAAGGAGGCCATTAGCCAAGGACTTTAGAAGCTGGAAACACCAAAGGAACAGATTCTCCCTTATATCCAGAAAGAATGCAGCTGACAGTTTGATTATAGCCCACCAAGACTGGTGCTGGATATTTGATTTATAGAGCCATAAGATCGTAAATTTGTGTTGTTTTTAGCCATTAAGATTGTGGTAACTTTTTACAGCAACATAGAAAACTCATTACACTTGTCTGGTCTAAATATGGCAGACAGTTGAGAAAGCTGTGCCACATTATTTCACCTGTGATGATGAAGGTCTACTAATTGAAATGTTGATTTCCAGGCTTTGCATTTTCACATTACAAATTTATTTAATAAGAAAATAGAAGGCCCCTGTAGAGAAACTCCAGCTTCCTTTAAAAATAAGGTCTTGGACTTCTCCTTTCCAGATACACTTCTTCAGTCTCAATGAATTGTCAGGAAACTTTTGTTTCTTCTTCCACACTACTTACAGAAGCTCCATATCAACAAATGTAAAAGCAAAATGACAAAGTACACCTCTCCCAAAGAGTTAATTGATAACTTCAGAAGCATTGTGTTAAAAATATTCACAAGCCTCCTGCTATTATGTAATTGATATAGCCCATTTCACTTGCTCTTCTATTATAAACACTTGTTTTGTAACCATACAATCCTCACTATAACATATAAATCCCTTGGCTGTAGAAATTAACCTCATTAAAAAAAAACTACGGTGGTTTAATTTCTAAAGATATTTGTAATTTGCTTAATTGAATAAGAAGAAAAGAGACAGCTTTAGTTAATTGTCAAGAAATGCAGACGAAACCAAATTGCTACATTAAAATATAAACATTAAGTTCACATTAAGTTATTTATTGAAAAAATTGAAGATGACATTTGTTTTTATTACAAAGTCCTCCATCATCTCATATCATCAACATATAGTTATGAGACCTGCATTTGACGAGTGAATAGAAATACAAAAATGTCTCTTCCTCCAATGCCATGAAAAACAACAACAAAAAATATGATTTTATAATTAGCTTGTGAAGCGAAAAGTTTTATGAATTACATATATTTTGTAAATTAAGAATGACAACAGAGCTAAGATTAGTTAATTTCTCTTTCTGGACATGTAAAATGAAGATAGCATAAAATTGCCCACAAAACTAATAAATCTAGAATTGTTTTGTATTTCAGGGTTGTAAGATAACATTTATATTACAAGTTTTCAGTTCACTTAATCAAGTGACAAATATAAACTTCACCATACTATGAATTTTTTGTTTATAAAAGCTTTCACCTTATCTAGACTTATGTGATGAAAGCAAATTGAATCTATGTTTTCCCTTTCAATATATGCACTTTAAAATACAAAGAATTCACATGAAGACCCTTCCCCATATTGCATATCCAGAAAAATGTATGGAATAGTAATTTTAAATCAGATACAATATCCAAGATTGTAAATAGTCTAAGAAATTAAATCGAGTGTGTAAATAATCATTAATTTTTGCCCTAGCCACAGCCTAGAAAAAAATGTACACCTCTATCAGTATCTCTTATCAGTAAGAGATATCATTAGAAAACTTCACATCTTATGCATATACCAAAATAACTAATTAAAGAATCTTGTATTCTAAAAGAGTTATTCTTAGGGCAAAATTTAGTAGTCCAGAAATTGTTAACAAGGAAGCTAATCGATGATGACGCGGCATTTTCTAGGTGTCATTGTTTATTTACACAAAAGAATTGGTAAATTACACTTAACTCAATTATCATTTCTTGAAATTTTAAAAGAAGATTTAGATAATTGTATTGGATCAAATTAATTGGTATTTTCGAGAGAACATTAGTTTCATCAATTATCTGAAACTATAAAAATATTTTTCAAACAGACAATAAAGCACAATGGACAATAAAAGGGATGAGAAAATTTGATATTTTAATTATGATGACTATTTCTATACTTTGGAAAGTGTATAGAGGGAAATTCCCAGCGAGCACTAAAAGAAAAAAACCTACTGAAAATTCTGAAAGTCTGTTCTGTGCCCAATCTCCATGACCAAGTTACCAATTAATTAACATTTTGAAGCTATTGGAACTGAGGCTCCCTTGCAGGCCTCACCCGTTCCCCACTCTCCATTTGTGTGTAGTTTACATATCCTTCTTCAACATACATTATTATTTTTTTATTTTATTGAAGTATAGTTGATTTACAATGTTGTGTTAATTTCTGTGGTACAGTGGTACAGCAAAGTGACTCAGTTATACATATATATATATTCTTTTTCATTTTCTTTTCCATTATGGTTTATCACAGGCTATTGAATATAGTTCCCTGTGCTATACAGTAGGACCTTGTTGTTTATCCACTCTATATATACTAGTTTGCATCTGCTAATCCCAAACTCCCAATCCTTCCTCCTCCCGCCCCACCTCTCCCTCAGCAACCACAACTCTGTTCTCTATGTCTGTGAGTCTGTTTCTTCAACATATATTATTAAACTAAATTTTTACCCTGATTTTTCTAAAATGACTTAAATAATAGTTTTAATGCTTAATAACAGATTTAAAGGATTCTAGGGCTATGTTTTTAGAGAATACATTTTAATTTCTCTCTCAAACCACCTTAAATTTTTTGAAAGATATGTCTTTTATCCTGAAGGAGGGAAAAAAAAAAAAAAAAACAACTGAGTCCTTAGGGTCCTGTACATTAAAATTGGCAGGCTGATTTCAGTCTTGGTCTCATAGTTTCAGCTTTTCTGCTGTCCTGTCTGCTGTGAAGATACTCAATCACAGGAATTTTAACAGCCATCGATACCCCTTTGTAACCACAATGGCTCAAGTGAACCCTTTCCATCTTCAATAACTGACACAGTGTCAACATCTGCTTCCAATGAAGTTGTTTCTTTTTTTTCTCAAGTAGAATAAATCTGCTGACTGAGATCATAAAGGGTTGGGTTTTTTTTCCTCCTCTTTTCATGCAGAACATTTTTTCCACCATATTTTGCAATTTTTTCTCCAAGTTAAAAAAAAAGGGGATAACTTCAAAAGAGATTTTTTATTCTAGGTGCTAAGGAAGCCCAAAATATAATGAAAAAGTTAAAACTTTGGTGGTTTCATGAAACTGTCACTTTAATTTTGGGGACAATAATACACAGGGTCCTGGATGAATAAAAGTTTGGAACATGTAAGAAAACTCAAAGTTGGGTCTACATACCACTAAAAGGTTAATTTATTTTCCTTCATAAACAGCACACTAAAATAGAGATAATTTAGAAATTTATGTTTTATCTTCAACATCTAGTAGAAGGCAAAGATTCTCTTGCAACAATTTCTTACAGAAAAGCACAGTCATAACTATTTGATTGCTACAGAAATGGGTGTGGAAAGTAAACAGAAGTGATGTTTGGGAGCTCAATTTTATGATTTACTTACTCAGCTGATAGGTATTTGTGGTATCTGTCATTTATTGAATGTCTACTATGAGCCAGATGATTGAGTATATATATACGATTTCCAGCCTGCCAGTTAGGTATTATTATCCCACTTTACTCATGAGATAAATAAATGAAACACCAAAACACACATCTAATTATGGCTAAACCAGAATTCAGAAAATGACCTAATGTCCAAGCCAATGTTGTTGGGTTTTTTTTCATTAATTCATTCTGCTTCTCTATTTATCCTCTAGTCGAACTGTAACATAAATACTAGCCTTTTCTACCTCTTAGTACCATTGCCCCATTGACTTAATTTGGCAAACATTACATAACCAAGGGGCACTCAGTAAGGGATAGAATGCAGTTTCTAAAAATATAGTTTCTGATTGCCATTTGTATAATGAATAACGAGCTCCTCAAGGGCACAGTTTATGCCAGTGCCTAGAATTTTTTTTAAAAAAAGGTTTTTACAACGTTGAAGAAATTAATCTCTCAATTATTTGCAAACCACTTGTTATCATTTGCAAAATGTAGAGCAATCCCGGCCATTTTTGCTTAAAATAGTAATGTAAATAACTCTAAGAGGAAAGAGAGAGGAAAAAAGCTAAAGGGGAAAGTTAGGAGGGGACGGTTAACCTTCTTAAGATGAAGCATTGAGTTTTACCTTCAGAGGTGCTTTTCAAATAAACAGTGAAAAACCAAATAACCTGTAAAGATCTACCTAATCACTATTTTGTTGTTTCTTATTTCATGATAGTTTAGTGGTTGAAGCATAGATTAGATGTCAAATCAATGAGATGATTTTCTAGGATCTAGCTCACAGATCTTTAGAAAGCTTGAATAAAGCCTAATTTATAAAATAACCAAAGGTGGAGTGGTTGCAAATGAAATTGCGGAGGGAGATGGTAGCCCTCAATAAAGCAGTCTGGAAGCCTCCAAAATTAACAGTATCATTTTGGTGCGAGAAAACCAACCCAGAGAGTGACAGCATTTTAAACTTAAACTCAGAATCATACTAAATTACAACTCATCCTCTTTTATGACTTCGGTGGTAATAGTAATATGATTGTAGCAATGGGATGTGAGACAATTACAGAGACAGGCACTCATCTTTTTTGACTCACATTTTGATCCACTCCTTGTATAGGCAAGGATCCAGTCCCTGCGATGTGCCAAGCAACACCTGGGCCTGTTCTCAATGGGGGATCTCACTCACAAATCTCTCCTGTGTACAGCAGAATTCAGATCCCCAACTTTTCTTGGGTCCTCTGAGCCAAGGAATGTTTTATCAGATATTTACCAGGAGTGACACAGGGCAAAGTGTCACCCTAAATTCAGGGTGAAGCTATCTAATTGTCTGCTCTCTTGCCTTACATTCAATTCAGTGGAGAGTAAGGAAACGGGCAGAAAGTCAATACGTTTCTTCTCATAATTGGGAAAATCCAATTGAACGATCTGAATGAGTTGGAGTACAAAACTGCTCTAAGAGAAACTGCAAAGGAAGTTAACAGGTTCCAAGGGAAGAGGAGGAAAATAAATATCCCCAGTGAGTCATACCATGGGAGCTACTGAACACTGGTCTTTGAGAATTCAGGAGGACACAAAGTAAAACAAATGTTATAGATTCATTCAACCTTGTGCTACACAGATTTAGGCAAATTACAAATAATTGTATCAAATCAAATTGTAGATAAAAATGTAGATAATTTAACCAAGCCACTCCCTAGAAATCTAAGTTCATATCATTAGTAAGTGGAAGATTCCTTACGTTTGGACCTCACATTAGGTTAAATGTGTATACTGGGTTAAGAGTAGTCTGGTTAAGAAGCAATATAGTGATGAAAATACAAGAGAGTGTATAGATTTATAACTGATAAGACGCACCAGGAAAGAAGATTATGGCATAAAAATAGAGTTAAGGGAAATATTTGAAAATTATCTGTGAGAACTCTGCCTAGCTAAGCAGAGACTATGTTGTTCTTGTATCTAAAATGTTCACACATATGAGATACACTATTTAAGATGGAAAATGTTATTTCACTAAACATTTAATTTCACATGGGTGAGGACAGAGATGGGAAAAATTGAGAAACATTTTTAACAAACTAAAACTTCTATATAATACTACCTTTTTGATATGAGCCATCTCTGGAAGCAAATGAAAGAATGGACTTTACATTGGAAGTCCTTAAAATACCAATAACGGCTACTTTTATAAACCTAATCTTTTCCTAATAGCATTTTAATGATAATCCCAACTTTTTCTTATTTAGGTCCTGAGGGCCATGTCAAGTTGAATCCTGAGTCCTCAGTAATAAATTTCAGATAAGTTGTCAATTTATTAACCTAATTTCAGTAATTATAGTATAAATCCCAATTTAAATTTATCTTGCCCCCATTTTTTTCTTAAAAAGAACTAAATCAACTAAAACCAGCGTTAAACAGACAAAAAAGACGCAAAAACTGATTTAAAATATTACATATGCAATACATTATTTTTCAATTTAAAATGATGGGTAACACTCTCAGAAACAGCCATTGAATTAAAGGCTTTGTGATGTGTCTAGTACCTTCCCAAATATTATCCCTTCAAACTATCTTCAGGAAAAAAAAATTCACTTAAAATATGGCAAAAAATTGCCATGAATGAATAATTATAAACAAGAAAAATAAGTCACTGGCACTCAAAGGTAGCATGATTAAATTTTTTTTTCCAGTAGTTGGATAGAAATTCTGGTTCCATTTTTCAAAGTCAGATGGACTAGAAAGATAATTATATACTCTAGGCAAACTCTCCATCTGATTGAAAGTTTATGCCAACTTTCTTCTTAGTCAACCTCCAAGCAGTCTTTGGGAGAAATCAAAGTAATGAAATAGCCTTTCTTTAGTATGATCATTAAAAAACTTCCTTTTCAAGCTTTACATATAACTCAGAGCTAAGTGAGCTAGCATGGAATTAAATCTTCACTGAGATTGAATGTAAAATAATACCATGTTGGCTTGGCTATGGTGCTACTTCTGTAAAAAGGAGAAACTATCAAACATCTGAGGTAAGCTAGAAAGCACAGAGCGTATCACAGACATCTTAAAGCCAAGCATTTTAAACATTTTTGCCAGTGCTTCTCTGAGAGCAAGTTCTTTAAACAGAACTTAACAATTGTTACAATATTTAAAAAAACCCACATCCCTCAAAAATAGCCCATCAATGCTAAATCAAACTTTCTGTATTTTTACAAAAATAGATGCACATAGAGCTACAAAATTGTATTCCTGAAAGAATGATCATTTTCTTTGTGGTTCATCTTTTCCTGACAAGGTGGTTGGTTCAAAAAGAAAAAAAAAAAAAAAACTCAAAAAAAGTGTTGAACTGAAACAAAAACTAAACCATGTATTGTTAAAAGCAAGACAAAAAATAAAAGAGAGTTGCACAGTTGGCAAAGGCTCAGATGAGGGAAAAAATAAACAAAAATGCTTTTCTTCAATGTCTATGACCCACTCTGCTTTCTCAAGAAAAGGCTCCAAACCAAAGTCAGCTGGATAACACTTCCTCTTTTCCTTCCATGTCTACTGTGTCCCACTGCAGAATGACAAACCCTGGCAGCATCTTTTCCCAGTGGGCCCATGGATTCACGCTTCAATCTAACTTGCTAATACTGTGTGTTTCAGTACCATGGTGAGTCCTTACTCTTGTCTTGATGCTGTAGACCTAGAAAAGGTGACAATGAGAAATAGAAAAGAATCAATATATGTAGCACTCAAAAATGGGCAAAATCTACATATAGAAACCAAAAAGACAATTGAGCTCACAATTTTCAAAAAGTCAACCAACACAGTAGGTGAAAAAAAAACTCTAGACTAGAGCAGTGCTATCTGCATGGTACACATTCTTTACTATGGTTTTATCTTACTAGAGTAGGTGTGAATAATAAATAAAATAATATAAATCAAGATTTCTTACTTCTAATCCCAAATGGAACTGATATGGGGGAAAATGATATAACCAGTCTTTGGGCATTTAGGCAGCGCTTCAGCTCATACTTTTCAGCAACCATCAAATGACACTTTTGGACTAAGGTAGTGACTAAATTTACTTATTTTTATTGCCTTTTCTTTCAGAAACTACTTAAGGTAGCTTATAAAAATCCATGTCTCAAAGCCAGAAAATGAAATTTACAGGTAAGTTTAAAAATAGTAGTACAGGGCTTCCCTGGTGGCGCAGTGGTTGAGAGACTATGAGCTACTGAACACATTTTATTTTATTTAAAAATAAAATTAAAAAAAATAGTAGTACAAAAGGAAAATATGTGAACATGTATGAATTCCAACTCAAAGCTAGAATGATTAGGACGAAGTATATCAAAGAGGAAACAGAATATATGACTGACTTGGTTCTAATGTAGTCAATTGACTAATTTCTGATGCGGGCAATTAGCACAGCATCTTCAGCTAACACTCACTTGAATCACTTTATTTTTGTCCTGAGGCATAACTGTTTGGAAGAGTGAAGACTCCAAATAATGGTTGTTCTTAAGTTATTTAAAACCAAATACCAAAACATGAAGAGAAGGCTATTAAATAAGTGAGTAGAAATGCAGTGTGACTGCTGTTATGTGGGTGCTAGGATCCCAGGCTGTCTTCTTGATTTTTTTTTTTTTTTTTTTTTTTTGCGGTACGCGGGCCTCTCACTGTTGTGGCCTCTCCCATTCAGGAGCACAGGCTCCGGACGCGCAGGCTCAGCGGCCATGGCTCACGGGCCCAGCCGCTCCGCAGCATGTGGGATCTTCCCAGACCGGGGCATGAACCTGTATCCCCTGCGTCGGCAGGCGGACTCTCAACCACTGCGCCACCAGGGAAGCCCTGTCTTCTTGATTTTTAATCTAAACCTGTTTTAAGTCTGGGCTGGATGTCAGAAATTGAATGGTTAAATGAGCCAGTATGGTTTTCAATGTAATTGTCACTAAAACAGCTATAGTGATTTCATTGCTTGTCCTTCAACTTGTTAAAGAATTTTATAAAACAATGCGTGTCATTATAAAAGATACAATTAGTCAGTCATTGATAGGAGACATTAAGATAATCTACAAAACAGATTACATAAAGGGAGGAAGAACAAATAAAAGGAGTCAGAGAAGCAACTCATAGAGCCACAAGGCACAATCTCTGGTTTATAGCATTTGTATCCTGGGAAAAAGCAGCACTTCTAGAATGCCAAAAGATTAGCTCCATCTTAAGTTTTTTTCATGTATACCAGCATTATGTTTAGATACAGAGTCAATAGTTTTCCTTTCCCTTTTCAAAAGAAGAAGAGAAGGATAAAGAGAAGCAGGAAAAAGAAATAAAAGGATCTGGGATGTACCAATTCACTCTAAGTTTGATTTATTCATATAATAATTTTGTGGTCAGAATAATTTGCAACCTGACAAAGTCTCCGTTGGGTGACTTTTATAATCTAAACCACCTTAACTGACAATCTGCTGACTGCATAAATATTTTTTTCATTATTAAAACATCTCATCTTCTGTATGACTCAGTATTTTCCGCACTTGAAGACTACATCAATCTATAGAATGTCAGCACTGCAAGTCATGAATTGTGTTGGAATTATCAAGTGGTTTGAGTGTCTTTTTTTCTTCTTAAATAAAAGCAACCCTTAGTTTGCCTTGCAAAGACAGATGACTCCGTCAAAAGCACGTTAGCCTTTTTCTGTGGACAAGGATTACATTACTTAACAGAGCCCTAAATATTCTAACCAGAATAACTGGTTGGAATAACTTTCATTATAACTTCGTCTCTTCAGTTGTTCTGTTTCTAAAGCTTTGCATTACTCCAAAGCAAACCTTAAAAAAATCAATTCCTCTATGCCCTGAAACATATTAAATAGATAATGTTGTCCTTTTGGCTTAGCTTCTTCTTAGTGATGGGACATAAATAAAATTTTTACTTTGATTACTAGGTATCTATACCTGTAAGTTTCAAAATAGGTATAAGTAAAGCACAAGAAAATGAACAACCACAGGCAAAAGACCCTACTACTCGTAAGTTGTAACAGGAAAGCAGGACTATGATCTTTCCTGTTAAACACTTGTTGAAGGAAGATCAGAATATTTAAGAATCAGCCAGTACACTTAGTTTTCCAAGTAAGGGTGAGAGGGGACAAAGTCATTAACCCATGATCCTTATGTGGTCTATACATATCTTTAATCCATGATCCTTACATGATCTACAGTTACTTGGGGTTTCCCCAAATTTTCTTACCAGAACACAAAATCAACTCTGCTATTATGTTGTTCCTATTCAGGCTTTTTATTGCCTTCTTAATTCCTCAACTCAAACCCATATGAAATTAGTTTATAACACATTCTGAAATCTGCCCACTGGCTAGCTGAAATCACCCGTGTTTTTCTCTTGATGTTAGTAACTCAGTTTTAGTTTTATTGTTTCGTCCGTGAGATTTTCCGTGAAAGGAAAATAAACATCATAACAATAATGTTAGCAAACACTTCCTTAGGGCTGAATATGCCAGACGTTGTGCTGCTTTATGTGAAATATCTCACTTAATGCTTCCAACTATGCTAAATATATATATATATATATATATATATATATATATATCCATTTTACAAATGAGAAAACTGAGAGTAAGAGAGGTTATGTTAACTATTAAGTGGTAGAGCCAGGATTGAAAATAGGTGGTCTGATATCGGAGTCAATGGTCTTAACCACAATGTATATGGCTCCCCTTATGTGGACTATATTGTCTGTAGGTTGTGACACTAGCCTATACTCCTGCAACTCCCTGAGTCAAAATCCTTTCATTAAATTAATTCGAAGAAAAGTCAACACATTTTTTTAACACCTTTATTGGAGTATACTTGCTTTACAATGGTGTGTTAGTTTCTGCTTTATTCCTTTTTGCACTGTTTAGAAACACCCTGATTTAACAGAACTGATATCAGTGTTAACAAAATAGCTCTCCTACTGTGTTTTTTTAAACTATACATTTGAAAAGCTTTTCCCAAGACACAGCAAATGATTACAGAGTAGTTTGTTATACTTCAGATGAAGACTACTCCAATCGTGTAATGGACATGTTTTATTAACTGATGTGTTTTTTGATATGTATCTTTAATATAACCACTCCTCCCTGCCGCCCAAAGACCTCCCCAGTGTGAACACTGAAGACACAGGGTGGCCATTTGACTCATGAGGTGGTTGTCAGAAATGGGACAAAAGAACAAAGACATCACATTGTTGGCTTCAGAGTCTGAGTCTGGGATGGAGTTAGGAGAAAAGCCTGAAAGGAAATGCAAGCCCACAGACCCAGTTCCTCCCTTCAGTTCCAACACCACCACCACCTGACCACCAAAAGAAAAGGGAAAAAAACCCAGACCCAGGAATAGAACAAAGGAACTATGAACATAAGAAAGAAATATAGAATAATTAGCAGCAGGAGAGAAGTCTTGATCACAGAAGATCATAATAGGATTTCCCTTTAAAATTTGAAGAATCTGACTATATATCAAGGTACCATAACTCATTTTCCAGCTGAGATTTTTGGGAGGCTGTTGCTTCACAGATTCATCTCTTGCAAAAGGCTCTGGGAATAAGGAAGTAGAGATGGTAACAGGGTGTGTCTAGGCATAGAAAGTCTAGAAACTTCCCCCTCCCTAGTTTCCTTCAACTCCAATGTGTCTGATGAAAAGATCTTAAAGTTCCCATGGGCCCCTGCAACAATGATACAGAAGTTAGTTCAGAGAGATTTCTGGCAGGCCTGCTACTACATTCCATAGTAGTGGGTACCCCATGGCAGAAGATGTGGGTACCCCATGGCAGAAGAAATGGCACGAGCCACCCCAGCTGAGCACCTTGGAGGGATGGTCACAAATATTAGGAAGCTGACTCGAAGTAATTAGTCATTGTCTGGGGAGCACTGTATGGAGAATGCACAGAGAAACAGTGGGGGGAGGGGACAAGTTTGCAAACAAAGGCCAAGATAGGAATGAAATGACAAGGTCAAGAGCAGAGAGCAACCTCTTAATCAACAACGTTCACAATGTGACAATGTGATGCAATGTGAAGCAATCCCTAGGGAGAGCGTGAGGGAAGCATCTGAGAAGAGGTTTCAACTCTAAGTGGGACAGTGTTTTAAAAAACTGACCAATGAAGATATCAATGAGCTGGACCATGAATACTCAGAATTGATGAAATTACTGTATAGCACAGGGAACTATATTCAGTATCCTATGATAAACCATAATGGAAAAGAATATGAGAAAGAATGTATATATATGTATAACTGAATCATTTTGCTGTACAGCAGAAATTAACACAACACTGTAAGTCAGCTATACTTGAATAAAGTAAATTTAAAAAAAAAGAATTGATGAAGTTAAATTTTGTTTTATGGGGCAGAAATAAATAATAAGTTGGTTTACTGAAAATGTTACACTCTAGCACACCTGAGTTTTAGGGACTATGTGATTATCAGAGTCATATCCACTAGAAAAGCATATCCTACTTCTAAGGAGGCATAATTACTTGACAACATCATTGACTATCGCTCATAAGTAAGGTGAATATGCTTCCAATTAATTTTATTGCTGGAGATAAAAGAGGTAATGTGGTAACCATGCACTGGTGAACATGCTGTTGATAAAAAGAGAAGAAAAATAGGAACATAAAACCTGGATGTGTGGGTAGAATATT